ATGCCACTCTTGCTGTGGTGAGGAAGAAAGGAAAGGAACCGGAGCCAGTGGGAAATACTGCCTCCTTATATTCTTTTTTCGCTGCAAGCCAAGACTACCCTGCAAGGTGCTTGCATGGATAGGGGTAAAGGCAGCAACCACGGACGTTGAGCTTTTTCTTCTCTATTTTCCAGCACATCTCGGTTGAGTGGGAGTGTTGAAATATTTGCATATACAACCTCATGTGACATGGCGCTGCCGTGCTGCTTTTCTTTGTCTCGATAGCTCTTTGTTCGCTGCTCTGTATAAGCTGGCTATGCCCACGAACTTTTGTAACTTTACATTTAATCACACGCATAATCTATCGTATAATTCAACAATACCATACACGGAAATAGGTCTGAAAAGCTTAAAGATCGAGAGCAGCAGCGACGGCAAGCCTTGAGCCTCATGAACACATAACGGCCCCAATGGAGCTGAAATGCACAACCGCTAGAGTTAAAACGTCACTCTATGTAGCCAGCATTAACGTTATACGTATGATGCGTATACCACGTGCGTGCGCGTGCGTGGGTTGGACATCGCTTTCCACATTCCACGCTACTGCAAGTTCGGTTAACGAGCCGGATTGGGAACGTTTATTGAAAGCCTGAGGGGCTGTGCACGAGACTACTTACCTGGTGCTTTGTTACTTGTGGGACGAGGCTAGGTCCTTGTTACTTGACTCGTCCTCGTCACTCGAGGACAAGCTTATATTACGAGCCTCAAAAACCTCCCGCTTCCTATTTTAGAATTACTTGATTGAGTGGTTCCATAAATTCATGGAAAAACCTACTGAATTTTGGACGGGGCTCGAGCCTCTCTCGAATTCTGTAGTCTCGTGCCCGAATTCTGGGAGGGAGAGCTACCGGGAATGAGACTAATACTAAGTACCTAATCGAATTCTATCGAATTCCAGGCTGGTTAATCGAATTTAGAATTCGAACCTTCCAATTGAAGAAGCGCGCAAGGAAGGCCGGCCGCGGGCAAGCACACCTTGGGTATCAGCTACTTACTTATTTCCAGCCCGTGCACTTCATAACTGTAATAATACACCGTATTATGATGTACATGTATGTACATATAGGTTGCCCCGGCTACGGCCAGCCAATCACTTCAATGTGCAGAACGAGACTACCATCTGCAACCCCGACGAATCACGAGCAGCCACAACACATACGGCGGGGCCCGCACTGTATTGAGGGTCAGTCAGTCCAAAGCGGGGAAAGAAAAGACGAGGACAGAGCCGTTTGATCACCCATACAGTCGCATTGCGACTGTAAACTGGCGGTCTCCGCTTGCAAAGGAGACCCTCGAAAGTGACTAGCCGCTTCTCGGTAAGGCTTGGCCGGCTAAATAGGAGGATTTCGCTGGATGGGGAAAATCTGGACGACAGTGTACCAGAGCCGCATTGTTGTGTATCTATGCATAATGTTTTTTTATATTTTTTTATCTTCATGGGGCTCAATGTAATGTAGCGGTGGTTTCTTGCACAGTCATGCGTCACAAGGGTTGTAGTCAATAAATGTTTGGTAATGAAAAGAGCTTGTGCGTATTTCCTTCAAGTCCATAACAGCGTAAAAGAAAAAGAGACAGAGGAAAAAGGAGAGAGAGCGATAAGGATATAGCTATAGCATAATGGCGTGAGAAAACTCGTCATAATTGAGTGTCAAAAGGAAATTCGTTATATATGATCCAACTCCTTGGGCCAGAAAGGTGACCAAAAACCTTGAGAGCTAGACTCGCAACACTCTTGCGAGGGCTTTTCTCGGTTCCTTGAAGAGCATAGAAATTGGCGGCCGAGGCGATGCCAACTGCCAATAAAAGGAAAAAACGGAAGATAGGAAAGAAAAATGGAAACGCCCATATTCGACCACATGTAGAGTTAAAGCTGTTTCCGTTGTTCATCGCAATGACTGTGATTGCGAAGTATACTAGCAAGAAAAAAGTCAGTAATTGTGCGAAACGTACGAAACGGGACCCAATACGTACTTACGTCGTTATTACACCGTGTGCTGGACCGCTTGCTGAGTAGCGATGACTAGTGCCTGATCATCATTGTAGGTTGTACCGGCAGTTGTAAGGCGTCCCAGCATAAAGTGAAGAAACCAGTTGCGGACTTGGTCTTTGCCCACAACCCCTCCGGATGGATGGGCTCTATTTCTGTGCTGGTATCTAGTGCTCCTTATTGCTGCTGCATAGGTTGCGGACCCCCAGCGGTTCAGGGATGTTCTATATAAACGCCAGATCATGTTTCGAGCATCCTGCTCAGTCAGGTTTGCCCCTAGGTGCGCGGGAAGGCCGGAAGCCTGGCCATTATTGGGGCCTGGAGTTCCGTGCTTTGAGCTAGCGGAGCTGTCATTGATTGACTCTTGAGGGCTGCCGTACGGTGATTGTAAGTTGCCACATTGACACTGACAAGTACAACCGGGTTGGCCTAGTGGTCTCCTGCTATCCTCCTCATCTGATACTATGCCATTGGGTTCATCCATCTCCTCGTCCTCGTCTTGGTCTTGTTGATATGGGCTTGTGTCTCCTTCTTCTTGTGTCCCCCGATTGTGTGGTCCCGACGTGGAGCCCTGATTGTTGCCTTCTATCTGAGGGTAGTATCCTTGAGGGGGGGTGGGCTGAAAGTACTCTGATGTCAGCCAATTCACGGTAGAAAAGCAAAGTTGCACCGCTCATCGGATGATTGGATGGTAGTCAACGAGTCACCTTGGCATTTATGTCACATGATGCCCCACTTTAATTGTGACTATCTCCAGAACATGGCGGAGACGAGGCTAATCACGAAGGGTGTAGCACTGGGGATAAGGCTAGGTGCAACATACCGCTGTCTGGACTGCAGGCTCGAACCGCCGAGCTGCATTGATCGGGGTAAATTGTGGGTGCCCTTGTAGATTTCGGTCACGGGCATTTTCGTTCCCAGATGAACGGGTGTTCTCGCTCCCCGGGGCACGGGGGCCCACTCTTCGGCTAGAGGACATCTCGGGTTCGGCCTGGGTTTGCTGGGTAGATGGCCGAACTGTGTGCAGGCTTGAAGATCTATGGTGGATGCGGCGAGGCCTGGTGGTTATAGTGCAACGAACCGCAGGTCAAGTCTGGGTACGAGAACAGCGTAACCCCAAGCGTAAGAATGCAGTTCGATGGCTTGTGGGACTCCGGAGAATCACGATGTTTCTGGGCCTTCGTGTGTCCAAGTGTCCAAGTGTGTGTGTGGGTGTGCGTGTGTGTGTTGTCTGACCCGGTGCACAAAACCAGAAGTCTGTGGGGTATCTTGATGGTTTAAATAACATCGGATTCAAGTTCCTGCCGGGTACATGGGGCTTGGACTCGATCATGGCCACGACCACACTTAATCCAATTATTGGCCAGAGCATTCGCCCAATGCACTGAATGCACTGTTTACCAGCATTATATTACAAAAAGTATTGAGCAGGGCGAATTGCCTGTTAGCCTCTCTCAGAACGACAACACGTCTCTCCTGCCTAGTCTCTTCCTGCCCGATGCCTCTAACATTCAGCCTGAGCCTTGCAATTGCGATTCAGGGCATTATTGATTCTCATACGTGTGCAAATTTGCACAACGCGGGCGGTGGCGAGGGGTATCATTGGATCTCGCAGACGAGGCTATATTTTGGACCCGGCCGTTCTCTGTTGAGTCTGACCATGTGTCCCTACTCCATCATCCGCCGGCATGGCCTTGCATTCCAGTAACCGGTCTGTTGCGCACAGTGACTGGGCCCACGCGCACACTCAAATTCATCCTGCCGATGATGATGATGACGATGGCGCTGAGTATGCTCGATTCTGCAAAGCACTTTCAATCAACGCTGCAAACAGTGTTGTGAATAGTATTCCAAAGTCCACGGCTATAGCCTCTTGTCCAAAGGCCGAGAATGAAAGAGCCGGCAAGTATTCAAGACATACTTCGTATACGAAGATCCTGGGTGTCATCTGTTAGCCTTTTCTCTTCTCTGAGTGATATGCATATAGAGCCTTCCATTGCATCGTTACCTTAGCCTTGTCATGTTTCGTCAGTACCCATGGTACCCATGTATTATTAGACGCCTTTTTTTATATACCGCTCACACGACTGTTTCAGTCGACCTGCATATCCGTTACCTGGTAACTAGTTCGTGCAAGGAGGACAATGTGCCTTCCAAGTCGATCCATCTAGAAACACGTTTCTTTTGTTTCTTCATGGCATGCATAATCTTGCGGGTATTTGAGCCGCAAACAATTAGTAGAAGCCAGTATCTACTATGCCCGGTGGTATGTCATCTACAGCACAATATCAGGCTTCTACTTACCAAGAACTCTTCAGCCGCGTGCTATCCTCAATGAGTATTCCCAGGGCCCAGGTCTAGTGGAGGGGGCAGTTTCAAGGGTTTTTGCTTCAGGGTAGGTTGAGCATCTTCAGGGTGGCACCGGCCGGGTGGAATTGAAATGAACGCGGTTTATCAGGACCTAATACTGTCAGTGCTGAGCGGTTTCGATGGGTTTCTGTGCCATGGGTGAAGGAATGAGACTAGACAAGAGGAACCGAGAGAAATTACTCGCTGGAAGGATGGCTGACACCCTTTCGTACGTTACTGCCTAATCGGGGAGCCTGACGCTAAGCCTGCATAGGGAAAGAGACTACCTGCCCCTATAGTGGTTCGAGGCAGATCATTCGCGTGTCCGCGGGGAGCGAGACCAGTGCCCGCGCGCTCAGGATTGTGCCCACGCCCGTTAATTACATAATTACAACATAAGCTAATCTTTCATGACCGCTCAGTCAATCTCGAGCCCTCAGCATTCCTTGATTCTCACCTTGGGCCAGCGTGCTTGAAGCATTGGCTGTCCATTTCAATATTACCTGGAATGGGGCTCTGGGTACGAGAGTAACAAGGCGTCATCCTGCTGAACAAAACCAAATCGATCTAATTTGTATACAAAAAGGCTATATATAAACATGGACCGAAAGAAAGGCAATGAATTGCCCGATTGGCTCAATGGTAGAGCGTCTCCCTCCTATCGAAAGGAGAAATCCCAATGATCAGTATTTAGGAGAAGGTTGCGGGTTCGATTCCCGTGTCGGGTTGTATTTTTTCCATTATTTTGAAGCTTCGAACTCTCAACATTTTCGTTGTGTTTTGATAGAAGGAGCCCCACTTTAATGATGTTGAAGTATTTTGCTACCAGAGGTGTGCCTGATAACACTTCTTATCTCATCTGTTATCTAAAAAAACATTCCAACGGGGATGTGAGCTCGCCTGGGACATCTGATAGGCAACTCAAGGTTCGATCTTCGTTTATAATTACTCTGCTGCACGTTTACCCTAGTCCCATGTTTACTCCTGCAGATGGATGAACTCAACCGGGAATCTTGGATGTGGGGCTCGAGATGGGATGGGGGTGGGTGCTCACGTTCCCAGGGATTGGGGGCTGTTGCTGTTGCCGTAGGCAACCCATCGGGCAGTATGTTTGTTTTTCAATTAAAAATTGAAAGTTCAGCCTCCATTGACGTTTTTTTTAACATTTGCCCCCCGGTAAACCCCCGCCATCCAACGCTGCGTGCATAGCCTCGACCCCATGGCATGCAGAGCTACCCTGGTTTCGGGCCAGATAGCTTCCTACCCCACACATATGTGGCCACCACGGCAGCAGGTATCCTACTTCCTTACATACGATAATACCATACCACACACACACTCCATTACCCAACATACTCTTCTCATTTGATATCACCCCATATCATTTTTTTCGCCTTGTCAACTTCATTTGGAATCCAATCGCTTCTGGGATTTGTTTTCCTTCCATTGCATTTGGGGGGCAGTGCAGTGTAGGAATGCATACCTGGTAAGATATCGATACACATGCACATGCGTACATGGACCACTTTAGAATCCAAAGATATTGATGCATTGTCAACATGTTTCAGAGTTTCGACAATAGTCTTTGGATTATTCCACCACATGTGAAAGCTAGAAAGCCATCGATGGCTGCGAGCCGCACGATAGAGCCTCATTTTCCTGTCCTTTTATTATGACGTGAGAAGATGTTATTACTGGCCATTCAGAGCCTCTTTCTCGATTCATCGAGACTCGTATGATTTCCTTCATCTTCGATCTTACATTTAGATTTCTAATACGATGCAGATAGGGCCCTATAGCTGCTAGAGCAGGACACGACACCACGGCTGGCAGTGCACCGGGGACGCGAACATGTACAGGACCGCGGCCTCCGCCCAAAGAATCAACTTGCAGCTTCATTCTCCACAGGTATCCATGCACGCTAATGTACTACCTTCCTAAATATCGACGTCAAAGATCAAATGTCAAAGCCGGGTTTTGTTGTTCTCGTGGGTTATGTACGTATGATCCGGACCGGTAGGTGCAATGCCAGTGCCTTAGCAGTGCCTACATAATGCAAGCAAACCACGAGGCTACTCGAGTACAAGCTAATGCAAGGTAGCAAGCTCTTACAAGGATACTTTCATTGACGTACGAATAAGCTTATTTTATATTTTTCTTGTGTTATGATAATAATCAAAAGCGAATTAGAATTACTTGAATATAACAAGGTAACGAATGGGATTGCAGCGCTAGCCGGTGAGCCCCAACTACCATTTATAAAAACTAGCTAACCCAATTGCACCAATGTTCCACACATCAGCCTTGTTTCCACCTACCATCCTACGTGCTAGGAGTACTCGAGTACATTCAAATTGAGGCTCTTTTTTTTTCTTTTTCTTTCTGGAGAGACTTCTACTAGGACAACAAGATAGGCAATATGTTATGATGCTCGCTGAGCCGCTTACCTCTATAGGTAACAAGGCTGGCGGCTATAGCTACATATGTAGGTATAATTCCATAATTCCATGGCCTACTTCTGCACGATGGGCTACAATCTTGGTAACGCCTCGCGCATGCGCACAATCCAACCCTTGATGGATGGTGGAAGGCCTTGCTTTTGCTTGCTGGCAATAAACTTTGGATGGATTGATGGGGCACGAGACTACCTGCTATCCCGGGCCCTGTGCGGCGCACCTCCATTTCATACATGTCCGGAAGTGTAGTTGCCGTTATCAATTCGAGTTCTTTCTCTCGTAACTAACCCCCAATTGGAGAATCCATCGATATCCAATTACAAACCGCCCCTTCTAAATATTTCGAGGCTGAAACCCCTCCCCTGCCAATTCCATACAACAAATACTTCCACAACTATGCAAGCCATCAAAAGAAAAGAAAAGAAAAGAAAAAGCCCAAAGAATGAACAACTCATGATACTGATCACCGAAAAACTCGGCAGCCGGAAAGACATGTGAATACGGAATCGGGAGTTGAGAAAATAAATCAACCATGCATTTAAGAAAGGAAAAAAGAAATTCCAGCTGCAGTTCATTTCAATTCAATTCGCTACCACTATCTCACTATCTCACTATCTACTCGAAGCCCAGCTCATGACCTCCACCGCCCCCCTCCCCCCCGGCCTTCGAACGCCTACGCCTAACATACCTAACTCTAATGCAATGTCTCAAAACCGTACCATGGTCGAGAGTTGATTGATCACCGTACCGTACCATGCATGTTGAGCCTGAAAAAAACAAAACAAAAAACAAGCTTCAACACTTCGACATGTGAACCATCCTCTCCCGCCTACCTAGCCTATGCCCTCCCACTGCACACCGGTTATAACACACACATACATACAAATATACCGGGGTCAAGGTGAATAGTGTGGGAGCAAACCAGGTTATCACTGCGTCATATTTTGTTTTTTCGTGGGAGGCCTGGGGGGAATGTAGGCATGTCAGAAGGTGCGGTACACGTCTGTGCCTTCGACACAGTTCCATATACCCATATGCATGCAAACACATGAGGCCGTGTGAGCGAGCAATCGAAACTTCGTATCACATATCAGAGGCTCATGGCACGCCAGACTAGGCTCATGGATCCACCCTCAGCCTCCAAAAAGCGGACAGCATCAGCAGCTGCATGCATAGCTACCTCTATGCTTCGGCGACTACCTGGAGCCAGGGCGGGCCTACAAAAAACACATGTTACTGTAAACAGAATCACCTTTACCAGGGCAAGCAAAAAGAAAAAGAAAAATGTGAGATCTCGGAGAAGAAGAAGTTGCGTTCATCCGAGGCAAGGCTCACCCTAGACATCGAAGCCATTCCACTTTGAGGCGTACAATTCCCGGTTCAAGTCCTCAAGGCATGGATGGATGGATGGCTTGCAGATGCATTTCCTGCATTGCAAGGCTCGGTGTTCTCCGATTGGAAAATTGGAAATCGAAAAAAAAAGGAGGGGAAAACATGGATTGTATGTAGAAAGGTAGGGAGCCGCGTTTTTAGACATTGCTGGAAGAAGGGATCCAAGATGGTTGATATGTTCCAGCTGACGAATACGATTTCGTAAAGTAGGTATATGGAGGAGGAGGTAGAAGAAGGGAATATTTGAGTGGCCAGGTTGAATTTTTGATGACGGATGAATGATATGTAAGATATTATAGGTACCGAGAATTAAACGTATGTATGAAGCATCGCATGCGAGCGAACGAGAAGTCGTAACCCCTAAGCCGCGCATGCGCAAAACCAAGTTATCAGAAAGTGAATTTTTTGGAACATTAGAAAAGAAAAATCAGGCTGGGCAGTAAAAAACGAATCCGTAGATGGGAAAGAAAAAAAGAAAAAAAGAAAAATAATAATAAAAAAAGAAAACCATTTTTTAACAGAGAAATAAATGCGTTTTCGAGAAAAATTGAAACAATTGGAGCTGTCTCCGCCGCTGAAAATGAGGTAAATGTACATGTGTGCGGGCTGTAAAGGGAGATGGCGATGACAATGTGGATGCATCCAAGGGTGTGATGAGGAGGTTTTGCGGTATAACGCTGGGCTTCCAGGTAGTAACACAAGTCCCTTCTCTTTCTTCAAGGTAGCATTCACTCCCGCCGCCTTCTTTTATTATCATTTCCCCTCCAATTACCCCCGCCGCCCCTTCCACCACTTCCCACCCCGCCACTAGTGATATCAGGTCCAACACCCATTGATACCGGAGGAGGAATCTCCAACCCAGAATCCACTCTTCCATGCTTCCTACTGCGATCTCTCGGTTCTCTCTCCCTTGGTTCTCTTTCTCGTTCACGTTCTCTCTCTCGGTCACGATCACGATCACCCACACCAACAGAAATCGCAGTCCCACCTCTTTCCCGTTCCCGTTCTCCACCACGCTCACGTTCCCTCTCTCTCTCTCTTTCCCGCTCCCTCTCCCGTTCTCTATCCCTATCCCTCTCCCGCCCAGGTTCTCTCTCCCGACCAGGTTCCCTCTCTGTGCGGTGATCCCTATCCCTTTCCCTATCTCTATCCCCTCTATCTCCTCTATCCCCACGATCTGTCCTCTCCCTATCCCTATCCTTCTTATCATCGATGCTTCCGCCTCTTCCAGTGTTTGAAGATGGGCCGCCATGGCCACGAGATGTAGCACGGTCGCTTCTTCTACTCTCCCGACCGCCCTCCATCACTCCAACCGGAAGAGGAGCAGCAATACCGGATCCACGTTCTCTTTCACGCTCTCTCTCGTGTTCCTTGTGGCGGGATTCCCTCTCGCGGTCCCGTTCACCTCTATCGCGGTCCCTATCGCGAGCTTCTCGGTGCTCTCTCTCGCGATCACTATGACCCCTATCTCTTTCTTTTTCACCTCCACGCTCACGTTCACGTTCCCGGTCGCGATCTCGATCACCACGATCACGGTCCCTATCTCCGCGATCTCTGTCTCGCTCTCTCTCTCGGTGGCGTCCACTTCGGCTACCGTGATCAGAAGATGCCTTGCCATCATCACCGCCGTTGGATCTAGAGGTAGACCCTATGGCGAGATCGCTGGTTGCAGCAGTCGTTGTGGCCCCACTGCGGCGGGTGAGGTCAGGCGTGCTTTGTGTGATGTTCATGGCTGAGCTGACACTGGATCGTCTGTTGTCTTCTGGAGTTCCGGCAGGCTGTGAACCTGAAGCCAGAGTACGCCCGCCGCCTGGCGCTCCATTACCACTATTTGCATTAGGCCCTCCCAAACTCCTCCTAGCACGGCCCCTAATCCCAAC